CTTGTCGTCAGAGCCAGAGACAATCCACTTGCCATCGGGTGAGATCGCCACGGAGTACACAGAGCCTGTGTGTCCCTTGAGGGTGTGCTTCAACTGGCCAGTCGTGGCATCCCACACCTTGATGGTGTTGTCTGTGGAATCATATGATCCAGAGCCAGATACAATCCACTTGCCATCGGGTGAGATCGCCACAGAGTTCACTTGGCTCGAGTGACCAGCAAGTGTCATCTCACACGGATCCCAGGTGGGTGCTGGACCAGCCGTGACCAGGAACGGGATCTTGTCCTCGAGTTGATCGGCATATGTCTTGTAGATCGCCGTCTCCTTCGGTGTGAATGCATACCCCGAGTTGTACACCTGCGGTGCACTCGCAATGATTGGATCTGCAAACTCGCGGATGAATCGATACGTGTCCTTGACCAGTTCCTTCGTGGTGTCGTCGACGATGGTGCTGGGTGCCTTGGCGACCACTCCTCGCAGCACAGCCAGTTGCTCGGCAATCTCCTGAATACGGTGTGTGAGCGACCCACACTCGAGCCAGAAGAACACATGTGTCTTGACGAACCGAGTGAGCACCGCTGCCACATCGACCATCTCGGGCGACTGCCACACCGGACTCGACTCGGCCTCTCCGTCCACACACCACACAAAGTGTGTGATCCAGTGGGCGACGCTGTATCGCAGCGACGGTGTGATCTTGGCTGCGACCCTGTCCTCGAGGTCTGGGATATCGTCGTGAAAGTCGAAGATATCGCAGATGTTGACCACTGGCTCGTGCGAGAGGATCACGCCGAGACATCCCTTGGCAAACACCATGTGGAACTCTTTCGACACATGCCACGGATGGCCAGCCGATGTGTCGCCGAGGAGATAGTCCGCCACCGACTTGTGGTTGAACTTGACCTCGGTGTTGGTGGACTGGCTGCCTCGGGGACCCAATCCATTGGCGCCAGGATCGAGGACCAGACTGAGGCTCTTGAGACACTCGCGAACGACGCCGATCTCGAGTCCAAACACATCGGCGATGATCTGCGGTGTCAGGATCGACTGGGCCGTGGCGATCGCCGACACCACCGTGACCAGCTCGGCCGGGTGGCTCGACTGCGAGTGGATCTTGGCAAATGTCTTGTGGTACAGCTGCCTGACATCGGCGGCGCTGTCGTTGATGTCCTTGATCGTGGCGAGTGTCACTGGGCCGTCCATGGCTGCTGCATCGACGGTGTTGAGGATCAGGTTGATCCACACGAATGTCTTGGACTGGTCCAGCAGGATGGCGACTGCCTCGGTGCGGTCCGAGTCAGTGAGAGTGTCATACACTCGCAGTCGGTGGCGGATGAACACCTCGAGGTCGCGGATGTTCTCCTCGCTCGAGGGCTCGATTGTCTTGGTCGGGACTCCATCGAATGCTGCCTTGATGTCCTCTTCGGGACGGGATGTCAGCAGCAACTTGAGCCATGGACGGGTCTTGTTCAGTTCGACGAACCGCCAGGCAAGCAGACTGAGCAGCTGGTCGCGCGTAGAGCACTCGTCGAGTGCATCCACCAGGATCATCACCGATCCCTTGGGTCTGTAATTGCCGATGGCTTCGAGTGGATCGGCAATCACGGCCTTGAACAGATCAGGGATGCTCATCTTGTCGAGGTCGTCCTTGGAGTGGCCAGCATCGAGCAGCTTGCGGCCGATCGGCGAGTGCCACTTGCACAGTCCATATGCGATGGTGTTGAGCACCACTCGTGGATCGCTCTTGCGGGTGTCGTTGTACTTGAGGAACAGCGCCGACACCAGCTGGTTGGTGGCTGTGAGGATGTTGGCGATCTGGGCGGCAGCGACAGATTTGCCCACACCAGCAACGGCATTGACCCACAGGACAGTGTCGGTGGTGTCTTGGTTGACCCAGTCGGTGGTTTGGTCAAACAGCCACTGGCGAGTACCCTCGACATACAGATCCTCGAGTGCCCTTCTGTCGGAAGAGGAGTCGACAGGGTCGAGGAGGGATCGCAAGGCGTGGTCTTGTTCGGCGGTGAGGACGACACTACCGCCTTGTGTGTACACATCGCCTTGCTTGTCGGCAATGGAAGTCTTTGTTATGAGCTCACGAATATTGGGGACCAGTCTGTGGAATATCAATAGTGTGAGATTGTATCAACCGTTTCACTTGTGGATTTGATGATCTCACCTCTTGAGAGCGTTTCCATCCGCAGCATCGAGGGCCTGTAGCTTCATCAACTCAGTAAAGGTTTCACGGATCGACATTGGTTTGTTGTTGAACAACGGACTCTTTTCATGGATCGGGGTGAAGTCAGGGAACTCTTTGACCGACGGGAAATACTTCTTCTGGAATGTCTCGCCATCAATCTCTCTGGTGGACCACATGAAGATGGGCTGGATGATGACAGATTGTCCACTCTTCTCACCATCCTTCATTCTCTTGAGAGCATGTTGGATCTGCATTCACAGGATAGGTGAGTTTCCAAATACAGTCCAGTTATATGCATTCAGACGCACTTACCTCGAGAAACTGGTTGTCCTTGAAGTTCTGAGCGTTGTAGGTCTGCTCGAGTCCAGCCTCAGAGAGGATCAGGACAATCACGTTGGATCGATAGAGACCGTTGATGAAACCTTGTTCCCAGGGCATGCCGTTACAGAGACAGAGACTGTCGAGATAGGGATGAAGTGCCATTTGGCCTCGCGGAGTGACAGCGAGGGTTCCATGCAGAGTCGTGGCATTACCGGCATCACTTCGGACTCGGTAACTGTGGGAACAGGCGTTAATTGGATGGAATGGAATCGCACAGTTTGGGCCGAGAAACCACGAACCTGATGAAAACATGGTGCTCTTCATAATGGCTTTGACACTCCCAATGTTGTGTGGGTACTGCCGGATAGTACTCCTCTGGCTGCAAGACTCGCTGGGGCTGTTGGATCTCGCGTTTTGTTGCGTTTGGCTTCTTCTCGTCTTTGCCTCGAGAGTTCTCATAATCCGCCTTGGCATTCTTGATCTTGTTGATTGCACCAGGCTTGAGGTCAATCCCCTTCATCTCATCCTCGGACATCCGCAGAATCTGTCTTGTAAATTGAATTAGAATATGGCCAACAACCACATCCTCAATATCAGGGGTACATACCGAGTCGATGGTGTCGTAGTCATTGTCTATGAGGAGCTGCTTGTATTTGACCAAGTGGTGTTTTTGAAGAAACTCTGCAAAGGCCAAGAGGTCCTCGTTCATCTCATTGGTGTGTAAGTTCTCACTGGTTCCGTGTGAATCACCTTGTTCTGTGGATACCATCACGTGTGAATGGATCACATGGTGAGTACACGATCACATGACAAACCGGGCGGAATAACCGTTACACCAACTTGCCCAAGCCACAGCCATCCCAACATCCCAATGCCGTTTCCCCTCGTCCAGCGACACCTCCTAGCACACAACGGTCCCCAGGTAACAACCCAAGCTCCAGTTCGAGACCTTTGTGTTTCGCATGTAGCGACCCTCACCTAGTGCGACCATGGCTTGATCGTGCGACGGCGGCGAGTCTGGTACTTCCATGGCCGCGAGGGAAAGTTCGAAAGTGCTCTTGGTGTGGCTGGTGAGACGGGGACGAAAGGGAGACAATGCGGGAGACAGACGAGCGGTCGGTTTTGTTGGATGGCCAAGTCACTTTGAAACAGAGCGATTCATTCATTTTACAGCTGCGCATGGCTCCAATCGGATGGAATGGATCATTTGAACCAATGTATAGCCTGAATGAGTCACGGGGTCCTTGTGCTTGGGCTTCACACAGGGACATCATTCACAGTCGGATTCCCCGCTTCCCGTCGATGATTGCATCCCACTCCACACCGATGTTGTGGGAACTGTCGCGCCCGTAATACACGCCCACTCCACGGCTCATGCAGAAATCCGTCGTCCTGATGCACGTCCCACTCCATGCCTGATGCACAGCTGATCCGCTCTAATACACACGACCCGAAACGTCTCCATGGTTCGTGGAGTGGTCTTGTTCGCTCTGAAACCCACCTCACTCCATGGGTCCTGGATGAGCTGGCTGAAACCCCTGGTCAGGAAAGAAATTGAAATTTTTTGAATTTTCTGTATTTTGGGGTAGCTGGCAGCGACGACAAGATCCTCACTCCATGAAATCCATTTCTAATACACAGCACCGACACAACCACACCCTCACTCGACAACATCACTCCTTGAGAACCAAGGAAGGTACAAATACCACTCACTCCATTCAAAAACTAATGCACAACCCCGACACACCAGCTCCATGAATACCAAAATCTAATGCACAAGAGCGTACAACTCACGAATCGTGGAGAGGTAGAAATGGCCGGTGGAAACGGGTGAGGACATCCTGATGGAGTGAGCCGTTTGCTGGGCGAAGCACTTTTCCTATCCATGATCTCAGTGTGGCCATTTTTCTCGGTGGAAACGGGTGAGAGGGTGGTGAACGATGGAGTGCCGGTCGTTCCCCGGACCTTTGGCCCAAAAAAACGCAAATGCAAATTTTTCGTTTTTTTCAAATTCACTTTTTTATTCAAAACGGTCTGAAATCTTGAATTTGTTACTGTTCTCACCCGTTTTCACCGATACCCTCTCCATAAAAAAAGGGGGGCTACCGGTCTCCACCGAGCCATTTTGGCACTCGACGATATCACTCCATACATTCATGAGATCAAAAGAAATGAATATCAATTTCCTCTCCATAACCAATGAAAAATATCATCATGGAGTGCGGCATGTGTGCCGTGGCAATGGGCAATGGAGTGGTGTCATGAAGAGGCCGGGATTCTCGGTGGAGACCGGTAGTGGCGCATACGCACTCCATGCCGGGATCCCGCCCCATGCGCTGGCGACGGCGGAGATACGGGCTGGGCTTGGACACCCTGTCGCCTGGCCACCATCGTCTCCCAGGCGCCGCTGGCCATGGGGTATATGAGGTCGCTGCTGGTGCGTCCATGCCCCATCGATCCCAACCACCTCTCCTTCATCGCCATGTCCTCCCAGGCTACCAAGCGCATCACCCGCTCGATGAGCACCCGTGCTGCCAAGCGCCAACGCCTCCATGAGCAGCTGATCTCCTTGGGAATCGAAGTGACATACCCTGTCCTCCTGGCCGTCCTCTCGATCCCCGAGCTGATCGAGATGCTCCCTGCCTGCAGTCTCGTGAAGCTCAAGGCAACTTCCAGCGACGTGAGGACTCTGCTCTCGACCAAGACTGTGGGCATTCGTATCTGGGCCGAGTGGTTCGACAAGCAACACCACACCAGACTTCTCTCTGCCGACTGCGCCCAGCTGGTCAAGTATTTCCCCGCTGGATCGATTCCCTTCAACGTCAAGTGGCTCAAGTCCATTCCGAGATCCGTGGTTTCAGCCGAGTTCGTCCGAGTCGTCACTCGTATCCGCCGAGACAACTCCGAAATCCAGATCGTACGACGACTCCTCGAGGTCAAGCACGTCCCCACTGCGATGTGGGTGGTTGAGGACAAGGTCTGGAATGATGAATGCATCAGCAAAAGCCTTTCCGTCCTGCGCAACAAATCCGAGGTGCTCGACGACTTCCTCCTCGAACATCGCAAATTTTTCCTCGGATCACCATCTGAAGAGATCAACCGGGCGTACTTTCAGTGGCTCAAGTCGTTGGACACATCCAAACTGAAGGTCAAATTCACTCTCCACGAATGCTATCGATATGGCAGAGGTACTGATTTGAACCCGACCCAGGCCTTGGATCTCCTGGTCGAATGCGCCCGCGCCGGGTATCGCAGCACTGTCCAGAAAATCTACAACATCTGCCAATACGGGTATATTCGAGATTGTCAAGACTGGACAACGGGGCAAGCAGGGAAGTGCGCAAGAGTCCTAATGCAAGACTCGAACGTAGGGAGAGGAGCGGGGACTGGACTGGGACACAGAGTGTCAAGTGTGAAGCCAAAGTTTTATTCTAGATCCAAGGCTTAGGATACTAAAAATACAAAGTGGCAAGACGAAGGCAAAAGACAGAGGCTGGTCGGAGGGCTATTTATGCGAGCGCCAAGGATCGACGTTGCAGAGCGAGGGGGCAGGAGCGAAGCAGCGGCGGGGAGGGCGAAGCAGCGAGCGAAGCAGGTGGCGGCCGTGACTCGGGATCCGTGAGTCAGCGGGCGTCAGTGGCGGCGGCATGGCGGCGCCAAGGCGTCAGGCGGCGTCGAGGCGGCGTCGTGGGCGTAACCCACGACCAACAGCAAGGAAGCGGGAACGGAACACAGACAGCGCGCGTGCTGGCGGGAAGACAACAAGGCAGCACAGCGCGGGAAACAAACAAACAGAAGGAAGGGAAAGCGCTAAGGCAGGCAAACAGAAAGGAAAGGGCAAAGGCAAAGGAAGGAAGAGGGCAAAGGCAGAGGGTGTTCATGACACTACCCCCCTCTCAAGGCCCGAGCTCCGAGAGGGCCAGGCTTCGAGGGATGAGAGGAGTGGTAGGCTGCGACAGGCTCCGGACAATGTGCAAGATTGCTGGCGGGCTCCCAGGTGCAATCCATCACCGTGTAGCCACGCCAGTGCACAAGATACTGGAGCTTACCTCGGAACAGCCTGGAGTCCAGGATCTGTTCGACTTCCCATTCGTCGTGGCCGTCGACTTGGATGGGTGGAGGGGGCGGGATGATTCGACCTGGGATCTTGTCATCGGCGGCAGGCTCGAGGAGGGAGACGTGGAACACCGGATGGATGCGCATGGACGAGGGCAAGTCCAACTTGAAAGCGCGGGAACCGACTTGAGCGACGATCTTGAACGGCCCAAGCTTGGTGTGGTCGAGCTTGGCCGTGGGTCGCTGGGTCTTGATGTTCTTGGCGGAGAGCCAAACTCGGTCTCCAATCTTGAACGGAGGGGAAGGGGAGTGGCCGGGGTCGTAGAACTTGGCTTGGGAGTCCTGGGCAAGGGCGATGTTGAACTTGAGTTCATCGTGGAGGGAGTGAATGGCTCGGGCTTGATCGTCGGCGACGGAGGCATTCTTGGTGGTGCGGGGAAGGGCGACGGAAAAACGAGGGTGGTAGCCGGTGTAGGCAAAGAAGGGGGAGCAGCCGAGGGTTGCTTGAGAGGTGTTGTTGTAGGTGAACTCGGCGTGAGGGAGAAGCTGGGCCCAGTCGTCTTGCTGGAAGTTGATGAAGCAGCGGAGGTACTGCTCGAGGATGGCGTTGACCCGCTCGGTCTGGCCGTCGGTCTGCGGATGGAACGCAGTCGACATCTTGTGCTTGATCTTGAGGCGGGTCAGGACGGCTTGGAAGAACTTGGAGGCAAAGGTAGATCCTCGGTCTGAGACGATATCGTCTGGAAGACCGTGCTTGGTGAAGACGTGCTCGACAAACATCCGAGCAGTGTCCTCGGCGTTGGCCTCGTTGCTTGACGGGACGAAGTGGGCCATCTTGGTGAAGCGGTCGACAAACACACAGATGGCTGTGTGTCCAGAGGACTCGGGAAGCTGGGTGATGAAGTCGACGGAGACAGAAGACCAAGGGCGATCGGGAACAGGGAGCGAGGCAAGGAGTCCGTAGGGCTTGTGACGGGAGTGCTTGTTCCGCTGGCAGGTGTCGCATCCGGAGACATACTCCTTGATGTAGCGACGCATGGTCGGCCAGTGGAAGGTCCGGGAGACGAGCTCGAAGGTCTTGGCGACGCCGAAGTGGCCGGCGGTCGGCGAGTCGTGGCACTCGACGAGAATCTTGCGCTTGAGCTCGGGAACATCGGGGACGCAGACGAGACCTTCAAAGAGCAGAAGGTCGTTGTCGACGGAGTAGCCGGGACAGGAGGCAGGGTTCTTGAGGACTTGGGACAGGATCGGACCAAAGGTAGAGTCCTTCTTGAGGTTTGACTTGATGAGGGCGGCGATATCCTCGGACTCGGGGGCAACGGGAACAGCTCGGAGGGCGGAAACGAAGAGTTTTGGTGGCAGCAGGGTCTGGGTGTTCGGGGAGCTACGAGAGTCACCCCCCTCCTTAGGGAACTTGTCCTTGCGGGAGAGGGCGTCGGCGGCATTGTTGAGGGTTCCGGGTCGATACCTGATGACGAAGTTGTAATCGCCAAGGATCTCGGACCAACGGACTTGGCGACGGCTGAGGTTGCGGGAGGTCTGGAAGTATTCGAGGTTCTTGTGGTCGGTGACGACCTCGGTGGCTTGGGAGGAGAACTCGAGGTAGTGTCTCCATTGCTTGAAGGCTGCGACGATGGCGAGAAGTTCCTTATCATAGATTTGATAATTCATTTCCGCATCGAGCAGCTTCCGGGAGTAGAAAGCCACGGGGTGCAGGAGGCCTTCGTCGTCGCGCTGACTGAGAACAGCGCCAAGAGCATAGTCAGATGCGTCGGCTTCGATGACGCACTGACGCTCGGGGTCGAAGTGGCGGAGGACAGGACCGGTGCTCAGGCATTCCTTAAGCTTCAGGAATGACGTTTGAGCCGAGGGAGACCAGGAGAACTTGATGTCCTTCTTCAGGAGGTCCGTCAGCGGGGTGGCGATCTTGGAGTAGTCCTTGACGAACCGACGGTAGAAGTTCGCCAGGCCGAGGAAGACTTGGATGTCGTGGGCAGATCGGGGGATCTCCCACTCCTGGATGGCCTTGACCTTGTCGGGATCCATGGAGATTCCATCGGGCGAGATGATGAACCCGAGGAAGGCGACGGAGGACTGGTCGAACTCACACTTTTCAAGCTTGAGTGAGAGTCCGGCGTCTTGGAGCTTGGTCAGGACTTTCTTGACATGAGCCTCGTGCTCGGCAGGATCGGAGGAGTAGATGAGGATGTCGTCCAGGTAGACGACCACGAACTGGTCAAGGTATTCTCGGAGGACATCGTTGACGAAGGCTTGGAACGAGGCAGGAGCGTTGGTCAAGCCGAACGGCATGACGTTGTACTCGAAATGGCCGTAGCGGCAGCGGAAGGCCGTCTTCCACTCTTCACCTTCAGCGATGCGCAAAAGGTTGTATGCGCCTCGCATGTCGAGCTTGGTGAAGATCTTGGCCTTGCCGAGGTTGTCGAACGTCTCGGCAATCAGAGGAAGGGGACAGCGGTTCGGCACGGTGATCTTGTTCAGGGCCCGGTAGTCGACGCAGAGACGGAGGGAGCCATCCTTCTTCTTGACGAACAGGACTGGGGCACCGGCAGGGGACTCGGAACGGCGGATGAAACCCTTGGAGAGGTTCTCTTGGATGTAGGTGTGGAGGGCGTCCATCTCCGGCTTGGAGAGGTTGTAGACGGGCCCAAACGACGGAGACGCACCTTCGACCAACGGGATCGTGTGGTCGTAAGGGCGGTGCTGGGGGAGCTTGTCGGCCTCGGACTTGGAAAACACCTTGGCAAAGGACGAGTACTTGGAGGGGACAGAGGGCTCGGCCTTGGGCTTGGCTCCAGCGTCGACGGAGCAGAGGGACAGGACTCGGGCAGCATCCAAGAGGAACACTTCCAGGCCTTCCTTCTGGACGGCGTGCTGGAAGGGGATGCTGCCGATCAGGCTGACGCTGGGCAGGGACTGGGTCTTGGTCTTGGTCTTTGGGACGGCAGGAGGCAAGGCAGGACTGGGCTTGGGCACGGCAGGAGGCAAGGCAGGGAGGATCTCGGGCTCGGCTGGGGACTCGGCTGGGGACTTGGCAGGAACAATCTTGGACTCGGGCAGGGACACGGCAGGCTCGGCGGGGACCTCAGCAGGGGACTCGGCAGGGCTGGACCTAGAGGACTGTGGCTCGGGAGAGAACGGGGAGGCCAAACTGTGGATAGAGGTGCAAGGCAAGAAAATAGAGTCATGGTGCCAGTCAAAGTAGGGTTTGTGTTTCTTGATCCAATCCATACCCAAGATGATCGGGTATGAAGCCAAGGGAATCAGCGCGAACGAGATTTGTTCATAGTGGCTGATGCCTGTGATCATAGAAACACAAACTCCAAGACTAGACTCCATCGAAGAACCATCGGCAAGAGTGATGACGAAAGAAGTTTCAAAGGTGGGGAGAGCGTGGGTTGCGGCGAATCCAGTGTCCATAAACGAAGTAACCGCGCCGGTATCGATCATGGCGGTTGCCCGTATGGACTCTGGACCGCACAGCAGAGTCACAGCGAGGGAGGGCTGACGTTGGATGTCAGGCTCGGGAGGCGAAGACGAAGAAGCAAGAGCGGTGGAAACGGTGGCAATGGTGACGGGGGCAAGATGGCAAAAGGCAGAAGAGTGATTTACCGTGGAGACATTTACAGGAGGAAGATTTATGACATGATTGACGCCTAGGAAAGCTCCTCCGACCTTTTCTAGGCAGAGAAGTTTTCCTGGTCGTCAAGTTTATTCACATCAACGACAGCCAAAGAAGCATCGATGGCAGCCAAGCGGGAGGATGCCTTATTGGGGCAGCGAGGGGCAATGTGCCCTTCCTGCTTGCAATAAAAGCAACGATTAGCAGCACGGAGGGCGGCCTTGTCCTCGGCGGTCAGCCTGCGAGCGGAAGCCTGGCTGAGGTCCATGGGCTGGGGAACGTTGAAGGCTTGAGCGGGGCGAGGAGGAGGAGCAGGAGCGAAGGGACGAGGAGCCGGACGGAAAGGGAGAGGAGCCGGACGAGCAGGAGCAGGAGCAGGAGCGGAGCGGTGGTTGGGACGGCGGGAGCGTTGGTCCTCCTGGCGGTTGTCGATGGCGATCGCCGCTTGCATGAGATCTTCGAGGTTGTCGAAGGAGCGGCGGGAGAGTTCATCTTGAACCGAGGGCTTGAGTCCACTCTCGAAGTGGAACATGAGAGGGTCTTGGGACCAAGTGACGAGGTGGACGGCTTGGCGGCGGTACTCGGCGGCATAGGCGGCGGCGGAGGTGACTTGGTAAAGCCTGACCATCTCGCGAGCAGCGGCGATGGTGGGCTGGACCTGGCCAAAGGCAGCACGGAGCCACTCGGAGAAACCGGCAAAGTCACGGATGGCAGGGGGAGAGCACTCGGGGTCTCTCTCCAACTGATCGATG